AATAGAAGCAGTTACATACTGTGTTGTCCTTCACCTGTTTGTCGGGCCTCAATCTCACAAAAAAAGAACTTTTAACACAGCTCCTCTGATACAGCAGCTGTCTTTAAACTTTGAACAGGCTTAACAAACACCAGTTCCTGGCGTGACTTGTGAACTTCATTCAGAAGCGGAATCCCAGGTGCGAGACACCCCTACTGACTGCAGCTTGTTTTCGGATGTAGCTTGTTTTCATTTTTTTTTTTTATTTAACGGAGTAAGGCCAGGAAGCACCAGATATGATAGATGACTGTGTTCTGGCGCAGGTGGATGGGGATGAGTTCCAAAGCAAACAACATGCAAATCAGATCGAATCAATTAAGCTGAGCAGTGGTTCGTGATGAAGCTGTGCTCCATATTTATGAGCTGTGATTGGGGGAAGCGATCGGGGTTCACGGAGGCCACACACATCACACTGAAAGGTCAACAGCAATAATAACACTAATAAAAACTGATGACCCTCACACGACTGAGGCAGAACGAGTCCCCTTCCTCCATTTTGGGTGCCGTCAAAACGCCTGCCACTCGGTCCCCCTGACAGCAGCAGCAGCACCCTCATCTTCTATAACTGGCCTCCCCTAAAAACTGCAGGCTTGTCATTTATTCAGCTAATGAAAATGCTATATCAAGTTAAAGCTTATACAGATTAATAGAGTCTACTGCAATATAAAAATATACCTACAAGCACACAAATAATAAATAATTTGAATAAATATGTTTCACGGCGATATACATTCGACACATACCCCCTATCTCTCTATGACTGTATCTGTCTATCTATCTATTTATCTATCTATAGATCTACTTGCATGTACCACTGTAAAAATACCTTGCTCAATGGTAAAACTGCTGTGTCCCAATTGGGAATCAAATCTAAAAGCCCCCCTCCCTGCTACACTACATTGCTGCCTACATTTCTTTTTGTAAGCATAGTTATGCATAAACAACTGACATACCCAATTTTCTGTTGCCCAAAATATAAGCAGTTACTGGCGGCACAGTCCCAAAGCAGTGGGAGACAGTATCAGTAGCAATAAATATATCAAATTTAGGGTTATAATGGTTAAATAGTAATTGATTCTGTGTTTATTTGAAAACTATGTGGCACCTGTTTGACAGTTTTATCAGTTTGTGATGGGTAGGAGACTGAAAGTTCCATTTAAAATTGCTTTGACACAGATGTCACATAAATTTGGATGTTCAAATAAATTGCACACCAATCATTTAAGGTGATATGGTCTTTTTTATCACTTTAACACAAGTTTAGACTGCCAAATAGAGACCCATGTTTCTTATGTTTCATTTCCTGTTCAAGCATCACAGCAGAGTCCAGGGAGGAATGAATGCGCAAACTGAAAATCAAATATGATTATTGGCATAGCAACACATCGGCGAAGTGTCACCAAAGCAATTGGTACTTCAAATGTGAATCAATGATCAGTAACAAGAACAGTATCTACAAAGATACTGCAAAACCAAAGTCATACGTTATCCAGTCAGCTAGTCTTTATGAAAGTATTAGATCATACAATGCCAATTATAGCAGTAACTTTAATTTAATAATGAACACATGGGTCTTTGAAGGGTCTGATGCTCATCGTCCCTCAGGCTGTGGAAGGCTGGCTCATCCTGGGTATTGAGAGGTGCTGTGTGCCCAGTGGGACTGAAATTCTCTCCCTTTTGTCTGATTTTGGCAGGCAGGGAACAGGGAACCGTCTCTGACCATCTGGACTGGAGAGGCAGGGAGACAGATGAAGAGAATGCCGTGGCCACCAAACCGGGATCCAGGCACCCCCCAGACAGACTCCACAAAGGAGTCCCAGGAGTCCTCAGTAAAATGGGAAATAAAAATGTCTTCGTGCTTTGATTATATTTCAGTATTTCCTGACTTATATTTGGATAAAATAAAGCATGTCTGCATTGGAAATTACTGTGATTATTGTAATTATAAATATTGCTATTTTACTAATTTACACCTTGCAATATATAGGTCCATGCATCATACAATAGCTATAAATACATGTGATCATGATTTAGACCTTTGTTAAGGGGGTGGGGGTCTTTCAGACATAGGGCGGCCATTTTAGATTAGATTAGCAGCATGAGAAGAAGTGGAGGGCTAACGTCACGTGCGTTAAATGGGTGAGTGTGCACTCAAACACACACTCTTGAACAGAGGGGGGAATGCAGCAACGAGAGCATCTTGCGAATATGATTGACTATTCCTGATTGGCCGCACCGAAGCCCACCTGCGTCCAACATCTCCTGGCAAACCAGCCCCACCTACCTCTCTTCAGCAAATCATACATACTACAGAGCCTCACATATCTGACTGGCTGAAACTTCATGTATATGTAGTGTCAGCAGAGAGATTTAATTTTTTTTTTACATTTTTAATTGGTTTTGTTTTACCTGAAAGCCGTGGGTCACTGGAATGCAGCTGTGCTCCCATATTCTGTTTCATATTTCATACCCCAATGCACAGACATTCACACTTTGGGTGAAAGGGTCCTAGAGCAACGTGGTATGAGTTGTCAGTATAGAGGTCCTTAGCATACACAGACTGGGGTTCAAACACACAGCCATCAGGTGTCAGTATACACACAGACACGCCCCCATGGCTCAGCCAATTACAGACCTTTCACAGGGACTAGAGGTGTCCTCTGCAAGTGACAGGTGCTGTGAGCCATCTCAGCCTTGGATGATTGTACCTCTTGCTCTATCTGCATAATGTTCTTTACAGTAGTTACAGAACCAGCCCCATCACCATTACACTGCTAACATTATACATGTATTATTACAAGAACTTGTGTCACAGAAAATCAAGGCTTATCGATAAACACGCGATGCCATGGAGATGCCGGGGATTGAACCCGGGGCCTCATACATGCGAAGCATGCGCTCTACCACTGAGCTACATCCCCTGCACACAAGCACACCTGCACACACACAGAGTTTAAATGAGAACACAAACACTAAAGAAAACACTAAAGAAGAAGGCTTCTTTTGTCAGTATCTCTCCGCCCACACTGGGAGATAAAAGTGTGTGTCCACATGTGTCAACATGTTTTTAATACAAAACAAACTGCAGGCAAACTCCTGAGGTGTATTTAGAACTTTGTAGGAATGCATCAAAACCTGACAGGTTTTATTTTTTTATCTTTAGCCTTATTACTATTAATACATATGTGCTTTGGAGTTACAGTATACTCACCTCTTCAGACAGTACTAGCACCTATTAGCCTTATTACCATTAATACATATGGGCTTGGGTGTTACAGTATGCCCACCTCCTCAGACAGTATACTCACCTATTAGCCTTATTACCATTAATACATATGGGCTTGGGTGTTACAGTATGCCCACCTCCTCAGACCTCCTCAGTTACTGCTACACCACTGGAGACAGTGATTCTCCCAGGTTGGAGGGCAGGGTGAAGGGGGAGGGAACAGAGTTTAGAGTTTGTTTTGAAATGGACTAATCTGCGGTGTGGCTCAGATAAAAAGCTAAACACAACACCTTCAACCTCGATCAATACCCACTGCTATGTGGATGAAAGGTTTTGGAGCCAAGATGGCAAAGGGCTCATAGGAAGTCGAAGCACATTGCAGTTTGTTGTCACTACTGTTTTCCAAAGATTTATTGCTTTCTTCATGACCTTCCCCCTCTTATGGAAAGGTCTAGTGAGAGGTGAAAGGGACTCTGGGATAGGCCCAATCTCACTATCACTATGACCTGGAAGAACTATATTCCCTGTTGTGGTGTAATACCACCAAACTTCAGATATGTAATTCGATAATAAACCAGTGGCAAGCCATTGCTTCTGTCTAATCAGAATCTCATGTTGCAGGAAACCAATTTCAAGCAGCTATTCTACAGCAGAAAATTCTCTGGTGTTTCTCCTAAAGTAAATGCACGCACAGCCAAACCCTGCTTCAGAAATCAAAGGGCACGAATGAGCTTTATGATGGCTCTTGCACAAAAAAAAATCAACACCTTTTTTCCTGATTCTCTATCAGAGATTGAGCATCTAGATTTGAAACCAGTAGCCTCATTTTAGCAAAACTTCAGGTGTAGCACAGTGATGTCACATACAATTAACAGACAAATAGAATTGATTTATGATAATGAAAAATATACTTAAGCTTACGGCTTATGACGTACTTGGAGTAAAAATCAATATCAGCATTGAGAACGACTGAGTGAATTTCTGGCCTACAGAAAGGGTGTTATTAAAGTAATGAACTATTGAATAGATTTATGCAAGAAAGTTTTGACAGGGAATTTACCATATGGCAGTTTCCAAGCCTTTCCATACCCAATTGATGCCCCTGGTCTAGACTAGGACAGACCAGGAAGGAACCCTCTTAGAGACACCAGTGGTGAGCTTCTCCCTTCTCTCTGGCACCCCCTTTAGGACTCTCTTCACACTGACTCCACCAAGTAAAAAGGTCTGTTACAGATATTTGAGTTTAAGATTTATAACATCTACAACTATGTATTGTTTGATACGATTTTATTGTTTTTAAAAAGTTCTGTTAACAGGGAAAAAATTAAGGCAAGCAAGTTTCAAGGGACATCCTCAAAATATGGATAAGTTTGTGTTTACTCAAACTCGCTGGGAATGTCCAGGGAATGGAGCTGGAAGACTGGTGATTCTGCTCTCTAAGGTCATGGTGCAGAAGCAGTGGAGTTTATTCTGTCAGTCTTTTCAGCACAAACATTACCATGCCCAGGGTGCCCACAGGGAGACAGGTAAGGGGAAAAACAGCAATAAAGCTTTTCCCAGTTACAAGACAAGACATGGACATTTACATTGATATTGAGGCACTTCACAGACTTACAAAATTGCTTATGAAGAGCGAAGGCAATAAACAAGGAATTTTAAACTATTATACTTTCTGCATAAAATACTGAACTGCTTTAAGGCTGTTTCTTGGCATGTCAATAAACATACAGAACATCGGAGATGCTGGGGATTGAACCCAGAACCTTCTACACACAAAGCAAGTGCTCTGCCACTGAGTTACACCCTCTGAGACAGACACTGAAAACACTGAGAAGTCCCAACACTATCTGAGAACAAAAGGTCTCTGAAATTATCTTCATATCATTTCAGAATTTACCCTTAACTGCTTTCCATCTGTAAACCCATGTTGGCTGAAAAAATAACCTAAAAAATATTCTGTAGTTTACCTTGACAGGCTCTTTTAGGATTTAACATGCATACCTTGCATGTCTGTATTTCCTTAGCATTTCAAATACATGTCAGATCAAGATAGTGTTTAACGTTGTCCATTTCAACCTAGTGTTCTTAACCCATCCCCCCACCCGAACCCCTACCCCCAAAAGTGTCAAGGAACAAGGAAAATAAAATCCATGTAACATGTCGTCCATTTCACAGTCCCTGGGGGGTCCGTTAGAAATTGATTCACAGGTCAGGACTTTGCTGTGAAGGCTGTGAATGACAAATATGGTAAATGGATTCAATCGGGGGGGGGGGGGGGGGGGTCCTCGTTTAGAAAGATCCGGATATCGAGCGAAGGCAGGGTTCTCCTTCTCTATATCTTTTGGCAGAGCTCGGTGGCAGATCCTGTTCTAATGAAGATAGCCTGACCATAATGCTACAGAAGCCTCACTGTGTGTGTGTGTGTGTGTGTGTGTGTGTGTGTGTGTGTGTGTGTGCGTGTGTGTGTGTGTGTGTGTGGGGGGGGGGGGGGGGGTGATTGCAGCATGTTAATCTATTACTTTAATTTAAATTATTTATTCATTTATTTACGTTTAGAAATGTTTTACTTCTTGGCAGTGAAGACTCTGACCACAGTGGGTAGTGAGCTAGCGCTCTTAAAAATCCACTTCCAACACTTTATTTTATCATTAAATTTATAATTCTAATACTACTCTGAGACTACTGCTGAAACTTGTACCATGTTATGTACATTTCTGGTCGTTTGTATCAGCCTGCTTTACCAAAGTAGTTCTGTTATGAATACACAGGAATTTTACATTTAGAAACATTTAGAACATTTACAACATTTTATTGTTTTATAACATTTTAGTGTTTTAAACAAGTTCTGTTAAGGGGAAACGAAATTTGGCAAACAAAATTCAAGGGACATCCCTGAAACATGGATTTGTGTGTGGGGAATGTGTACTCAAAACTTGCTGGGAAGTTTCTGGGAATGGAGCTGGGAGACTAGTGATTCTGCTCACTACGTCGGCTGTGCAGAAGCAGTGGAATTTATTCTGTCAGTCCTTTCAGCACAAACATTACCATGCCCTGGGTGCCCACAGGGAGACAGGTAAGGGGAAAAACAGCAATAAAGCTTTTGCCGGTTTAACACCATTTAACCTAGCTCTCCAGAGACACAAACTAAATGTACAAGCAGCATAAAAAACAAGAATCTGTGGAAATTCAGAGCAAGTCTTAAAGGAGCAGCTCACTCAAAGCCTTAAAGCTGGAGACAGAAGAGGTCTGCCTTACAACTGGACATTGTATTTTTTACAGTTCCTGAAGTTGTGAGTCTTGAGGCTGGGTGTTGGAGGTACACAGTGGCAAAGCCAACAATCGGCTCCGTCTCACAGGGATTAAGATGTAACTTAGGGGACCATCAGTCTCATTGCTCTCCACTTACCAGGAGCCAATAGGTTTGTGAGGTCACCATTGGTTGACTTGACTTGTCATATTCCAAATACAGCGTGTGATTGGTGTCGCATACTCAGTGTTAAAAATAGTGAAGACTCACCATGTGAATGGGAAGAGGAAGAGATTCACAGGGTAGTTCAAAAGTGGAAAAGCAGCAACAACACTGTGATGCTGATCCTGGGCTCCAAGCTCAAATTTAAATGTATCAACAACAATATCTGCTTTCTTTGCAAAAAAAAGACACTTAATCACTTAAGGCTGGAAATCGAATCATAATTTGTCATCACGTGTGTCTAACTTAGAACTGAAACTTGCCTCAGGTTTCCTGGGACCCATTCGAGCATGCAGAGGAAGCATCCTCTCTTCCTTCATTCCATTTCACTGGCAGTGACTGCTGAGTGACTGGGTGAGGTTTCTGCCATATCTGTGACTGCTGAGTGACTGGGTGAGGTTTCTGCCATATCTGTGACTGCTGAGTGACTGGGTGAGGTTTCTGCCATATCTGTGACTGCTGAGTGACTGGGTGAGGCTTCTGCCATATCTGTTACTGCTGAGTGACTGGGTGAGGCTTCTGCCATATCTGTGACTGCTGAGTGACTGGGTGAGGCTTCTGCCATATCTGTGACTGCTGAGTGACTGGGTGAGGCTTCTGCCATATCTGTGACTGCTGAGAGACTGGGTGAGGTTTCTGCCATATCTGTGACTGCTGAGAGACTGGGTGAGGCTACTGCCATATCTGTGACTGCTGAGAGACTGGGTGAGGTTTCTGCCATATCTGTGACTGCTGAGAGCTGGGTGAGGCTTCTGCCATATCTGTGACTGCTGAGTGACTGGGTGAGGCTTTTGCCATATTTCACCTGACCACGTCTGAATAAATCTCATAAATCAGG